CGTCATCAACAACACACTTATTAAACAGGTATTGACTGCATTCTGATAGATATATACAGATTGTTTTCCATAGTAGTTACCCATTTTTATTTTATTTTAAAGAAAAGTCAAAGTATCGAAAAAAATCCCTGGCTTCAATCAACCGCTGGTTATTAGTCTTCTTCCTCTCCATCCTGCTCGGCATGGATCTTTTCAAGTCTCTCCTTGAGGCATCTGCAGTTTTTGAGATTGTGCAGAAAAGCCTCCGAAGCGCCTTGGATCCTCCATTCAGCCGTGTAAATGTTTTTATCATTAAGACTCTGGTCAATCGCAGTAATGAAGTCGGCGAGCCAAAGTCTTTTCATTAACGTGTTGTAATTGTTTCTGAAGAAATATTCTGGAATGTCATTCAGATAATCGTGTTGCCTCTGGCCGGGGTGACTGACTCGGCATCCATTGCAGATTTCTTCTCTGTACCGATGCAGCACCCTCTCCAGAATATCAACCAACTCCGATTTCACTATGTTCAAAAACAGAGACGTCTTGGCCCAAGGAGTAACATCAGCAGCAGTAGTACTGCAAGATTTGGGTGTCCACAATGGTGGTGATGATAGTAGTCCAGGAGTTTGTTCCTGGCTGCAACTCTCGGGGGGAGACTTGGTTTTTCTCAGATCCCTGGCTAGTTTTCAACGGTCGTCTTAGTGGGGTCCTTAGTTTTGGATGATTTGCTGATTGGGGTGGGACTTATTGCGTTGAGTGGGGGGAGTCATCTGTAGAAATGAGAGTTTCTTTCACCCGTATAATGTCCCTCGCTGTTTGACTCTTTTTAAAAAGTTATTTTTCATCTATCATTTTCAACCAAGCAGCAAGAGGTCAAATTTAAGAATAAGTAATAGTTTGTCACGATTTTACGGGGAAAAAGTCAGAGCGCGATGTCACATCTTAAAGACAGCTTGAACTGGATAGATGGTTAGTCTTTTTCAAACATACCATACGTTCTGCATGTTAGTATATTAGGCCAATCGGGTTAGGCCCTACTGCCCCACTCCCTCAATAGGGAAGTCACGCTTTGGGAAGAGGTGTTTAATTTCACAGATCTGACTTGATTGTTGTCGTGATGGCTGAAGGAAGAGGGACGGGGGAGGAAAATTCAGAGGGTGAAGAAGCAGAAAGATAACTTGTTTGTAAAACGGACAGCACGTCAGTTTCAGGAAAGATGACACCGGTTTTATGCATGACATGCCAAATATCCTGAAGCCCTACAAAAAAAAAAGGTACAAGTATATTGTGTTGAAAATATCGCAAAAAGTCGTAATATTGTATAATGTAATAGTTGCATGTTGTATTTTGATAAAAATCACTGTATATTCAAAAATATAATGGAAAAAGGAGAGAAAAAACAAATATCACAGTATGTTGAAAAATATGAAAAAAGTAATGTTGGGTTAAAATAACATGAAAGAAATCAAAAGTAAAGCATCTAAAAACATATATTTAAAAAAAGTAATGTTAGTCAAGTAATTCATTACAAATGAATGAATATTTTACCAAGTTATAAAGTTTTCCATACATAAACGTGTATCTTACAGTTCCTTTGTGAGAGAATTACGCACAAATCTGTCATATCAAAACATTCTATTGCAGTATTTTATCTGTTTTATGTGCTCTATATGTATATATATATATATATATATATATATATATATTTGTTGCACTGTTGGAGGAGCCTGTGACCTATGTTTTTCATTGACATATCTACACTGTAGCTAATGGGCATATGCCATAAAGCCTTGAAACTTGAAACTTAAAATGATCAGAAACTGCATTGTCTCACTGAAAACAGCTCTAAAGAAAACCCAATTCCATACAAAGTACTTAACTTTCTACCAGTTGTAAAGTGTTGCTCACTTCAAAAGTGTATCTAAAAAGTATCTTAGTAACAAAAACAAAAGCAAAAAGCATTAATGTTAACAACGCCTCAAAGGGCGGACTCCTGAGTTCCGTAATGTCCCCCTACCATGGCACTTGGACTATTTACATCATCCAGGGCTCAACACCAGTAAATACACCTCTCTTTATCTGCTCTCCAAGCCTCCAAGGGCGGACTCCTGAGTTCCGTAATGTCCCCCTAACATGACGCTTAGACTATTTACATCATCTAGGGAAGCACACCAGTAAATCTTCCTTATAGTTAATAAAGTAATTAAACAATAAAAAGACAAGATCAAGGGGTCATTAAGATCTTTAAATTATTATTACCCTCTTCAAAGAGACTTCGTTGTAGTTAAAGTAATTAAACATTAGTTCACAAGCCATACAACTTAAGAAAACATCCAGTTCACAACCATACATTTTCAAAAGAACATCCTTAGTTAACAACAACTTCATAGGGGCTTTTAAAGTTGTGTGAAGTAATTAAACATTACAAATACAATATCAGGGGGTCATTAACATATTTTTTAATTAGTATTACCCTCTTTTCAAAAAGAGAGTCCCTTGCAGTTAGTAAAGTAATTAAACATTAGTTCACAAGCCATACAACTTAAGAGAACATCCATAGTTAACACAAATCATATTAAAAACTAATCTAATTTTTTAGGTGACTTAGTGAATGAGAATTTATGGCTGATAGCAAAATCAGGAGGTGACCGGCTGGGGGAGGGGAGGGGTGGGAGGGGGTGTGAGGGGAGACAGTCTCACACATCCAGACTCCATTTTTCATGAAGAGCCTCAGACGGAGGGTCTGAACCCGGCACAGATACTGCATCCGTTTCTTGACTGGCGCTCCCAACTGTCACAGGCGTCTCACTGATTAAACCCATATCGATGCGTCTCTTTGCCTTTTTCGTTTTTGAAAGTTTAGGTGACTTGGTGAGTGGAAATGACTGGCTTTTTATCTAGTTTGCACGGATTTCTTTTTTACCTAACTCCACCCCCACCTCTATCTTCTGACATCACAGCAAAAGGAAGGGTGACAGAAGGGGTGGGAGGAGGACGGGGTTCGAGACAGTCTCACACAACTTCAAAGAGACTACCTTAACACTAGTTACAAACACTGATCAAAGGACATACATCATAGGGCTAATTAGATTGACATCAAAGGCTTATAACACGTCGGTGTGATATCACACCTAAATGTTACAACACCTCACCCCCCTTACATCAAAGGACAGACATCAAAGGGTAATTAGATTAGACAACAAAGGGCAGACATCAAAGGCTAATTAAAGCCATGCCTCATTTTGCTCTGTGTGCTGTTTGCTGTCTACTGGGCTGATTCTATGAGCTGCAGCTGACCACGCCCCCCTGCAGGAGAGGGGAGCCGTGCTCTGATCAAGTCAAGAGGGGGAGAAAAAGAGATCTCCGTCCTCCGTGTTTTATTATATAGAGTCGTTATTCATTTGTTTTAAAGCTTTCAACTTCGGCGAAAGAAACTGAAACTGAAACTCTGCCGCACGGTCCCCTCGTTCCTTGGAAGAGGCGGAGAGGTGGGTGTTTGTCATCTGCTGGTGGACTAACCGGAGAGAATTACAGTGCTTGCCTCGACGGGGAGGGATTGCATTGAATTAAAGCAGCGGGAGCAAACGCTTGCCTCGGGGAGGGAGAAAGAAAGCCACAGCGGAGAATAAACAGAAGGGTAACCATGGTAACTATGGGCGGGAAGTCTTCTTCGCTGCTTTTGTGGCAGACTACAGTGCCACTTACAGGCCTGGCATATGTACTACAGCGTCACCAGCGCTTTCGAGCGGCAATGGCCGGCCGTGGCCCAACCCCACATTCCCCTGATAGGTGGAGAGTTGGCCCAATAGCCGTAGCGCCACCGTCCTGACGTCAGGACAGTGTTCAAATCTGGATCAGTTTTTATCAGATCCGTTGCAGCCGCTTTTTTAGAGATTTGGGTATGGAGGAAAATAGAGAGGGTTGTGTTTTCTGAGACTTGGTGAGTTCCCTGGAACACCGGGGACACATATTCATGTAGAAAAGACGTACAAAAGTGCATTTTGCATGATAGGTCCCCTTTAAGTTACTTTCCAGATATGGATTAGTGATATAGAACATAATCAACACTTAAATAAGTCTTTAGTTTGGACCTGGACTAAATTCAGAAACTAACATAATAGATATTAGTTTCACTGCAATGATAAACATATTTTTGCATCAATAATTATAATCAAAATGTACAATATTATTTTGAAATGGGCTGATCTGTATAATGAGTACTTTTGCTACTTTAACTATATTTTGATGCTAATACTTTTCTACTTTTACTTGAGTAACATTTGTAATGCAGGACTTTTACTGTAACATAGTATTCCTACACTCTGGTACTTCTACTTAAGTATTAGATTTGAATACTTCTTCTCCCACCTCTGGATATGACTTATGAATGAGATGAATATAAGAGAGCCTCACTACACCATTAGTCCCCCGTCACTTTGGTCCTAGCGTCCATGTGAAGAGTTCCTTCAGGCAGCAGATATTACAACAGGATTGTTCGGTTATGAACACATTATAAGTTAGTTATGATGTAGTTAAAACAATATTGGAAGATAGTCATTATGTGTGTGTTTTGGACTGAAATAAATCATGGGTCAAAACTGACCCGTGAACACCATGAACGGTGACAGCTTTCGAACACAACACAAGGGTTAAAGATGTACTTTGCAGGAAATTATTGTAATGCATTACTGTTTTTAATGTTGAAGGTACTTTGTATTTGTTATAATGCTGCAGTGGAGTTGGAGAATGTGAATGTGACTCCTGACAGTTTCTAAGAGAGAATCAAAACAACTCCATCAAATCAAACACGTGGCACAGCTCCAGTATGCCATGCTTTACCCCTCACATGTTTTCTGCTGAGTCTCCTTCATCAGGGTGGGAGCTTCTTTGTTTACAGCAGGTTCATCCGTCACATGACTTCACACAAGGAGACAGAGAGTTCAGGAGTTTGGCATCTATGAATGTAAAGGTTAAAACAGATGTTTGAAGGGATGCAATGCATTAAAGAAGAGATTAGATCGTTAAGATGTTCAGATTATTTATTTACAGAAACAGAAATCAACCTCAGAGACACATTTCTGAATTAAACTGCTGGTTATTTAATCACAAGATATCTGAAGCAGCATCAAATACACTTAATTATACAGCTGTTATTCCCTCTAAGTTCATTAGAAATTGATATTTACAATTACCATAAATGTTATTGTCCATCTATATAGGACTGAAAATGTCACAGGCTAACGAAAGAACATTGTAAGAATGAAATAATTAATTAAACTAAATGTATTAAATTACTTGCTCCCTGCAGTAAAACAACATATCTAAAAATAATTCATCAAAAGACCCAAAAATATAAAAAAGTGAAACTGATAACTTATCATGCTATAACATGATGTTTGACTAGAAACTAGATGTTGATAAAAGGAGAACTGACAGCTTTGATTTGTTAGTTTGTTGATTTCATGACGTTTCAGCACGAAATACAAACTTCTTACATTTCTTCAAGAATTCACACAAAACTTAATCAAACTTTCTCATTTCATCCATTACAAAGAAACACAGAAAATAAATTCATTCTTTTAAAGATTTTTGGATTCAAAATGTGAACATTCATCAATCATGCCTCAATATATTTTAAAATGATTTTCCGATTTTAATAAAGTGTCAGTGAGTTAAATGAAAACTATAAACACACTGGAATAAAGTATGATGCAAAATAAACTATAGCAATAAACAATCAAGTTGTTTTGTTTGTTTTTGTTTTTGACTGACTCTTTGATTATAATGTGTAAAAATGTCATGCAAAGATTAATATCTCATCATCTGTTGATTCTTTTCTTGATTGTTCCAAAGAGATGTAGACGGACAGTGAAGTAAGAATAAAGTCTGAACCAACACTCCTGAGCATCACAGAGGAATCTCACTCTGACAGATCTTGATATCAGCAGTTTTAGCATCACCAGCTTCTCCAATACAAAACCATGGGAAGAGTTTCTCAGTGAAAGTGTCTCTGTGAGTGCAGATGGGAGTCATGTGATCAGGGTCGTAGAAGGACACCTCCCCCCTGTCATAGTCCAGCTGGACTCTGATCCTCTGGAGATTCTTCTCCACTCTGACAGCCTCACCAGCACCATTAGTGTATTTTCCATTGATATACCTTAAACACCAGATTCCATATTTTGGGGAGGCAACTATATCTCCCTTCCTGCCAGCTGACTCTTTAGCCAAACCTATAAGCCACACAGGATGATCTCCCACCTCCACCTCCCAGCTGTGTTTCCCTGAGCTGAAGCCCTCAGAGCCCAGGACATTAGTATGCTTTGTGAATCTCTCTGGATTATCAGGAAGCTGCTGATCTGTGTCTCCACGTCTCACACTGGTCAGATCATCAGACAGATAGAGCCGGCTGTGTGCAGTGTTTGGGTCCAGAAGGACAGGACTGAAGTGGACCTGGTCCTTCATCTTCTCCCAGACTCTGAAGGACAGGTTGCCCAGGTGTTTGGCCACATCTGTCAGCGCTCCTGAGAGCAGCTGTGGGTCTGACAGTGAGCTCTGGACTCTGGCTCTGCTCTGAGTGGCTTTGTAACTGCTGAGGAAGGGCACGTTGTGTTTCTGCAGCTCTTCTTCAACAGCAGAGATACTGTGTGACAGAGAGGAGATGTGCTCCTGAATGCTCTTCATCTCTCTGCTGATAGTCTTCCCTTTCTGCTCCTCTTCGTCCCTCAGAGCTGCCAGTCTGGACTCCTCTTCCTCTTTCAGGAACTGATGGAGCTTGATGAACTCTGCTCTGATCTGCCTCTCTGTGGACAGCAGCTGCTTCTTGGACACTTGAATCACTTCATTGTATGTTGTCTCCACTCCTTTGTATGTGTCCCTCTTGTCCTCCAGAGACTCTAAGTCAGATGTCAGCAGGTCCTTCAGCTCACTGACTGCTTGTTCTACAGGAACCACCTTGTGACTCTGGTGGAGAGAAAAGTCACAGCCAGGACACACAGCTCTCTCTTCATCCATACAGAACAATCTAGGCTCTTCTGGATGTTTACTACACACCACCTCCACCTTCTTCTCTCCCTTTTCTGTCTCAGATGATCCAGCTTTCTGTCTCTCAGCAAAGGAGTCAGACAGTTCCTTCAGTGCAAAGTTCCCCACAGGATCTTTGGAGGACTTTCTTTTACAAATGGGACAGTCTTTGTTCTTACTTTGTTCCCAGAATGTCTGCAGGCAGCTCGAACAGAAGCTGTGGTTACAGCCCAGAGACACGGGATCTCTGAAAGTCTCTGAACACACATGGCAGCTCAGGAAACTTTCAAAAAGAGCGATTTTCTCAGCCATTTGGTATTAAAGTGATTTCTAGAGCAGGACTCACCAACTTGCAGTCTCTCCACTTCTCCCCAAATATACTCCAAACGTGTCTCCGAGCAGAAATCTCACACCCTGTAATGGCGTCTCAGCGCTGTTCAACAATGTCAAAATCCACTTTCGTTTCCTCTCACCTCCGTCACAGGGTGAGTTATCAACATCAGGAAATGCTGCTATGTCATTTATTCACCAGCAGATGGAGTCAGGATGTCTTTCAGAGGGAAATGTCCTTTGGTATTCAGTTCAGGACAGTGACTTTGTCCAGGTATCTGTTGGAAGAAAAACACATACAATTTAACACGTTTAAAAAAACAACAACGTAGGATAAAAAGGAAAATGGACAGAAGTGGACAGTCTTTGTTCTTACTTTGTTCCCAGAATGTAGGCAGGCAGCTCGAACAGAAGCTGTGGTTGCAGCTCAGAGACACAGGATCTCGGAAAGTCTCTGAACACACATGGCAACTCAGGAAACTTCAAGAAGAGCAGCTATCTTTTTCCTTCCCCTCGGTTTGCCTCCAACTGGAGATGAAGATCTCCCACAGTGTACTGCTGTCGAGGCTCTCTTCAACAATGTCAGAATTAGCTTTCAATGCCTCTTTTCTCTTTCACTAGTTAATAATTGATAGTTATAAATGCAGTCATCTGTTTTTATGACCAGCAGATATATTAGCAACATGAACTTCAGAATCTGGAAGACTTTCAAGTTCTGACTCAAACATGTTTTGAACCCATTTGTTTCCTCTGTGTGATCATCTGACCAGTGTTCAATCTAAACTTAAATACTGACAGGCAGAAGATTGTTGGAAATGTAAAAGTCACTAATTTAACACTATTTTAGTAAAACTTCTCCATGACATTAAACTCAAATGTGTGTTTCCATGAGCTTTTATTCATTGAAGCTTTACAGCTCTCACTATCATTGGACTTTGTTTTAAATTGCGTGCAGAATGTCCAGATGACCAATCAGAACTGAGTATTCACCTTAGCCCTGTTATAATCTTTTTTATTGCAGTACCTTTGAACTCAACGTTTTATTTGTACTTGTACTCCCTTGTGATTGTAAGCGTTATGATTCTCCATGTGGCGGGGTGGTAGTTTTTAAAGGCAGAGCCACCCAAATACCAAAATGCCTGACAACGCCACCTGGGGAGTTTCGCCCCAGGAGATATTTAATTTACACCTCAGAACTAAGAAGGCTAGACAAGTTCATGACTGACACAAGACAGAGACGTGGTTCAATTATAACGAAACGGTTTAACAGTTTATTTCAAAATGTCAATCACATGTATTTGTTTATTCTTGGTAAAACACTTTATATAGAAAATGACTAAAATCAATGAGGGGAAAAGGGGAGTGGGCAGATGCCAGCCAGGGGAAGGCAGTCTAACATGGCTGTGTCCCACTTAGCCACCACCGGTGCTCACTGCAAACCAAAACTCACTACAAACTGTGTCCCAGTGCTCATACCACTACAAGCCGTGAAGGGAATTAGACTGTGAGCCTAGCCTCCACCACTAGCTGACTCAAGGGGCAAAGAAACAACACATGAGTATAAAGCAGAAGAAACAATTATCCAGTTGGTCCAAACGAGCAAACAGTAAAATACACTAAAATCCTAAATATAAGACAGCAAAACTAAAATTGAAACAAAAACCTAATTCGAGCAAAACCTAACTATAGCAAAACAGCAGCGGATACCACCACTGCTCACTATGATTAATACTAAAGTACTAAGGACCAACACACATCCCTCCAGGTTAGCAGGACTTCAGGCAGCACATTTGGCCAAAGGAACACCAGGTGGACCAGGATACAAGCTGACAGTAGGCTAATACAAATGAATGTAGTTCAGTGCTAATATAAGATGCACATGAGTAATATTAAGCTGTTGATCAAACATGACAATGTACCTACCCTTAAGGTGGCCATGTGGCAACAGGCAGACAGCAAACGAAACAAAGGCTGCCATGATGCCACTAGAGATGGGCGAGTCCTGATTCATCCGGATCATTAACCCGGATCCTAGAAATGAGCTGGTCATGACGAGTCTCCCCTCTCCATTAACCCGAGTCCTTGAGTCCCACACTTGGTGTGACGTACAAATTAAAACTATAAATTGCGTCACTCGCTCCTCTCTTTATAACATGTAAAATCACATTACAACGTACCCCAAGTCCATCTACCTACCCTTTAGCAAGTATACAGGATAGCTGCCAGAAGTGATCGTTTGGCTCAGGGGAGGGGACGCGGATCAGTGAAACTTCCTGCAGACTCGTGGGGACTCAGAGGAGCCGACGGCTCCTAACCGTAATAGCATAGCAGATCCAGAGATCCATACTCGTCATGTGCACGAGCATAGCCCCTCCTCCAGCACCCGGCTCCCGCGCTATATTATGCACGAGTCAACAGCAGACTCGCAGATTCGCAGATTCGCAAATCCTGACTCGCTGCAACACACAGCGGATCAGACTCGTGCGGACTCAGAGCCGTATATAGCAGCAGATCCAGAGATCCAGCAGACTCGTCCTCATGCACGAGTCCACAGCAGACTCAGATTCGCAAATCCTGACTCACTGTGTGTGCAACACACAGCGGATCAGACTCGTGCGGACTCGGAGCCGTATATAGCAGCAGATCCAGAGATCCAGCAGACTCGTCCTCATGCACGAGTCAACAGCAGACTCAGATTCGCCAAATCGCAAAATAACCCTTTTTTTTGTGATCAACATTTTTTATTAAAGCAAAATACACTGTGTAGCGGAGGTTAATATAACGTCAGTTTAATAGATAGATAGATAGTACTTTATTGATCCCAAATTGGGAAATTGTTGTTACAGCAGCATAAAAGGCATTTTACAATAAAACAAAACTACAAAATATACAAGAATAGAAAGAAAAATAAAATAAAATATAAAATATACATGTCGAAATAGAAAATATACATGCAGATATTATATATATATATATATACAAATATATATATATATTCAAAATATATGGAATAATAATATGCTCGTGAAATGCATCAACTTTTCGGTTTCACCGATAGGATTTCTACGTCTTGGTGATGCTGACTCATATGACTCAAATGACTCAAATGACTCGTATGATCCGGATCTCTTCAATGACTGACTCAGAAGACCCTGGTTGCGTTCGAATACTCCAAAAATCAGCTCCTAAATTCTAACCCTATCGTCTATCCCTTGACCTCTGAGTGAAAGGTCACGGGGTTAAGGGATAGTGGATAGGAGAATTCAAAAGGATTTAGGAGAAGAGACTGCGGTACTTTAGAGAATCGACTGCACTTTCACTATCCCACGTGTTTATGATGCGCCAGCGGACGTCATGAATGTGCGTCTGCTGCTGTGGGGAAACTATGGAAACTACAGTTTTCTATACAGCGGACTACAACATGGATGTTTAATAAGAACGAGGGACTACTGTAAACTCATCTAGAGACTCTGCACCGTGCTCTGATGCTGTTATGCTTTATGAACAGGGACAACAGAGAAACATATTCTTCATGACCAAAGTTGGAATTGAAATAAAAAAGGAAAGTGAAACTTATGCTCATCACCCTCTCCCTCCGGTCCACATTAATACAAATGATCCCAATACGTATGATTGTATGAAAAGATCTTAAAATCAATACAAATGTATTTATTATAAACGTTAGTCCTTAACATCTATCACTGTGTATATCACCATTCAAACATCTTTTCAAAGTTGAACAAACCCCACACAGCTCAGTAAAGACTGTGAAATGTTGACTTTATTTGATCATTTCAGTCAAAACTAACGTTCATATTTCTCTTTTTGATTATAATACTGATGAACGTTCAAAACAAAGCACTTTGGCAACTTACCACATACGTTTTAAAATGCTTAATAAGCACCGTAACTTTCATGATATCATTTCTCGTTCATAATCGGTTGTTTCCGTGAACGGCCGACTGTTGTGTGACGGCAAATGCTGCGGCCGCAAGGCATTGTGGGGCAGCATGTTCTCCTCTCCTTTCGGTTAGGGAGGTCCAGTGGTTCCTAAGCTAAAGGAGTTTATAAAGGAAGTTTGAAACCTCCTTTCCTTTCATTTAGAGAATTCGAACGGCACTTATCATGGCTGCCACTGAGGGACTTCCGGGTCATTTCACTCCGTTAGGAAGGTTCCTAAGCTAAATGGACTATTCGAATGCAACCCCTGAGTCCGTAAAAGGATCCGGATTTGCCATCTCTAGATGCCACAGGTGCCTTAAATACCCCTGAGTTAATTAGGGGTTGGCTCTGGGGGAGGAGTTGACCTACTTTAGGTGATGGTGAGTTCAGGGTGTAGAGATGAGTGTGGGACAGTTACCTGAACCCAGTGTTCCTGCTACATCCATAAGCGTTGGAGTATACAGTATTTATGTTTAGAGTCACACAAACACAACCGTCTGGAAGAGCACATGTTTTAGGTGTCTTTTTACGTTCTTTGTTTTCATTGCAAAACCCCTCAAAACTTTAAATACTTAAACCAAATATCAGTTTTTATGAAATATATTCAGATAATAATGATGCATGAAGAAGCAACCAACAATGTCAAAGCAAGTTCCTTTAAAGGCGAGTGGATTTATGGCAGGCAGGGAACCAACGATAAAAAGAACGGCTCTCACCAAGAACGACTCGGTTCCCTTCGTTCGTACCAAAGAGCCGTTCAAAAGAATCGGATCGTTCGTGAACGTCACATATACAGTGAACTCTTTTGCATCAGCAGCAGAACATCAACAGGAAACATGAAACCCTCCTGATGAAACCTGTCTCCACTGAACCTCCTCCTTGTTTCATGGTTCCAGCTTCACCTCAGGATGATCCAGGTGAGACCGCTGACACCGGCTGCTCCGCTCTCCTGGGTCAAACCACTGGGTCAACATGAAGATCTTCACCCAGCAGCTCCACTCCAGAGGTCAGAACATCCCAGAGATCCAGACCTAAACCAGCTGCTACATCAACGCAGAGTCCCATCACTACAATCCCCCTCCACCGTGTTACTGGAACTGATGCCAACAACATGAAGTATTTCACAACCAGAATGCTGCAGCTGCGTCAGAGCGTACACTTCAACTTCATATTTCAAAGATGGAGAAGAGTTGGACTTCGCAGTTCCCCATCACCATCGTATATGTTCCTTTACCAGACCATGCACTGACTAATGACATGAGTTAAGGGGACATTGATTGCATTGATATTATCAGTGGTGTAAAGTAACTAAGTACATTTACTCAAGTACTAAGCTACAATTCTGAGGTTTGTGTACTTTACGAGAGTATCTCCATTTTCTGCTACTTTGTACTTTTACCCCACCACAATTCAGAGGTAAATATTGTACTTTTACTCCATTTATGAAATACCTTAAAGTGGACCTATCATGGTATATTTGAATAATATAGTGTAGGACCATACCTATATAAGGCATATTTATACTTTATTTTTTTCAAAATACCAAACAGATCATGCATTTTAGCCATGCCTCATTTCGCTCAATTTGACATTTTTTAGCTCTGTTTTAGCAAGG